ATTCTTGACTCTTCAGTGTTGATTTCTAAAGCAAGTCTTTGTTTGGTAGCATAACCTGGGTAAGGTTTTTGATTGAAGGCATCGATGAGGATTTTCAATTGATCATCTGTGAATTTGGTGCGACTGCGCCTATAATTTGTTACCACGTTTTCTATGGAAAGATTAGGAGAGATAAAGCATTTAATAGGCTAGTTCGTATGTTCAAACTTCAGGTTCAAGCTGGTCTCTCATTTCCTCTTCCTGTTTGGAATCCACCGGAACCACTGGAGAGCTGCCTTCAGACAGGTACACAGTCCTCAAACACACAAGGGTGATTTTTCAACTTCTACAGCTGATTTGGAGGCCATGACTGGAAAAAGTCAGGGTCCTCTTTTTTGAAAAACTGTAGAAGACTGATGTGTTCTGTTCATCCGGATTGGAAACAATACGAGTCAAGAAAATGCATGTAATTTATTATTACAGTGATGAACCTACAGAAGTTAAGAGTTTGTGATACAGGTGCCAATAAATCCTTTTCCATTTTTCTAGTCAAAACTCCTTGGTATATACATTTTTGTTTTGACCTCCATTGCTCAATAGCAGGCAAACAGTGTCAGTTTCCAAGACATTTAAAAAACACTACATGGAGAACAAAAGTAATTGAAAAAGGAATATCATACTTTCAGTAGAATCTTCCAATAGGAAAAAATACCACATTACATAATTTTAGAGATAGGACATCTTGAAATAACCAAATCTGAGCTGAGTGCAGTGGCTCATGCCTGTAATCCTAGCACTTTGGGAGGCTGAGGCAGGAGGATTGCTTGAGCCGAGGAGTTCAACAACAGCCTGGGCAACATAGCAAGACCCCATCTCTACAAAAAAATTTTTACAAGCTCTATAAATTGGATCCTACAATCCCCCTTCAGTCCTAAACTCTTAAGTACACATACAAGGATTTCCAGACCAGCTGTCTTGGAGTTTGGTGAAGGAATAAGCAAATTAGGACCTTTTGGGACACTGACAGGTTGAAGCTGGGCTGGGAAGAAGAGATAAACAAGAGATAGAGAGAGATATGAAGGACAAAAAGGGAGGGAGGCAAAGAGATAAAAGCCGAGTAAGATCTTTCTCTTCAACCCAGAATCTGTCTCAGCCCAGTAAGCTAAATTTCCTTGAGAGCAGCATTGGAGGAAGTTCATCTCTGACTCCAGAGCACAGGGCTTGGCACAGCGGAGCTGCTTGGTAATTCCCCTCCTAGGTCTGTGCCCCAGAGGAACCCTGACACCTGTACACACAAGTAGTGCAAATGTGTAGTTGCTGCCATAGCATTTGTGACAGTGAACATTTTAAATGTCCATCAACAGGAAACTGCATTTCCAGACAAAAATCTCAACAGGATATTGCTTTAGAATTCCTTTAGATTTACAGAAGATGCAAAGATAGTATGAGTAGTCTCCATGTATACCCTATTCTATAGGACCTACATACCTTAATAATAGTTTTCCCTATTATTAACATTTTATATTAGTATGGTAGGCTTGTCACAACAAATGAAGCAATATTGGTGCATTATTAGTAACCAAAGTCCATACTTTATTCAGTTTTTTGGTTTTGTTTTTCCCTAATTTCCTTTCCACCCCAGGATCCCACCCAGGACACCACGGTACATTTAGTGATCATGTCTCTTTGGGCGGCTTTGGCTGACAGTTTCCCACAGACTTTGTCCTTGACAACCCTGACTGTTTTGAGGAGTATAGATCAGACATTTATAGAATCCCAACTGGGGCCTGACATTTTTCTCGTGATCAGACTGGGGTTACGTTTTTGAAGGCAATCTGAAAACTTACTAAAATATACCCAGGAGAATAAAGATTCACAAAGCAGATAGATTTATACACCCAGGTGAAACAACAGAGTAGTACAAAATAATTTTTTTCTATGGTACTCATATGGAAACAGATAAGTAGACAAGTGGAATCCAAATTGGGATAGCTATAGCCTCCAAAATTAGTGGGAAATAAAATGGTTTACTATATGAAAAAAAAA